AATTTGTTGTTGGTGTGCTAAAAGATTTCCTTGTTTGTAAAACCAGACCCAAAGTAAAACTTCACATGATGCTCAACATTCCTCATTTTAGTGAAGAAAGTGTTTCTTGCAGGAGTTGTCATAAAAGAGAACACTGTTCTTGTAATTTTAGGACTTAATATTACAACTTTATTCTCGTAATTTTATGACTATTCTTGCTTTGACTTTTTTCTCGTAATGTTACGACTTTATTCTTGTAATTTTATTACTTAATTCTCATAATGTTACGACTTTATTATCGTAATTTTGCGAATTTATTCTCTTAATTTTACAACCTTATTCCTGTGATTTTATGACTTTATTATCGTAATTTTAATACTTTATTCTAATATTGTTATGACTTTTTTCTTGTAATTGTACGACTTTATTCTCGTAATTTTACGACTTTATTCTCGAAATTGTATTACTTTATTCTCATAATGTTACAACTTATTCTCTTAATTTTATGACTATTCTCGTTGTGACTTTTTTCCTTATATTACATTACCGTATATTACATTATATTCCTAATACTACGACTTTATTCTCATAATTTAACAAGTTCATTCTCGTAATTTTACAACTTTATTCTCATCATTTTATTACTTAATTCACATAATGTTATGATTTTATTCTTGTAATTTTATGACTATTCTTGTTGCGACTTTATTCTCGTAATTTTACGAATTTATTCTCTAAATAGAAAAAAAAACTATCTGTAGCCTGAACCTAATACTCCGTTGTACCATATCACTGCAGCTGCAGTTTCTTGTATCAAATTTATTAGCTACCTGTTAAAGTAAACTCACAATACTATAAACAATAATTAGCTACTGTACATTGGATTTATGGGTTATATAATAACAAATATGACCTTCCTCTTCTGGTATCACTGCTGCAACCCTCTGTTTTACCTTCAGGATTTTCTCATAGAAAGCAGAATTCATGGCTTCACAGTCGTGTTTTCAGTAACACGTTACTGTAATACAGTATATCAAGTTTGACCCTAATGGAATAATATAACAAGTTACAAACTACATTTTGGTAATATTATTACAGTTATTATGTTTTTATGACTATTCTCTTTGCAACTTTATTCTCATAATGTGTACTCTAAGCACGGTGGAAGCACAGACTACAGCACAGCAAACTTTCGCAGTAGTTGAAAATGAAATGAAACTTCTCTATCAATTTGTGTCTTGTTAACCGATCAGGGTCTGGAGAAGAGGAGCACAGGGAAGGGAAAGCTTTTTTGTAACTCCATGGTTTCCTGCTTTCAATCATTGCTTAATCCCCCCAAAAAATCATCAGTACTTTTAGGAGCTCAGTAGCTTTTGATGTGTTGATAGAAACCTGTATTTTACAAGCTAGGTCACACAGTAACCCAAAACATTCTTTGTTTCTCTGTCCAGATCATCCACCCCATGTTTGGAAGGAGGAGAGTTTCACAGATCAACAAGATGCAAACTCCAATATTTATCAGGAGAAAACAGAATCTATACAAATGAAAAAAGAATGGGATGTACTTAAACTGCTGCAGATGTCAGCAAGCAAAGAGAAGCAGGATTTTCTAAATGTAAATAAGAACCAGTTGGAAATATCCCAACAACAGGTAAAAGTAGAACAGGTGGAAGTACAAATTTTGCATGTAAAACCAAACCAGGAGGAACTTGAACATTTACAGATGACAACAGACATTAAGGAAAAAAAGCCTTTGCATGAATCCCAAAACAAGGAGGAGCTACAGCAACAACTGATAAAAAAGGAACCAGAGGAAATTGACATTTTGCAGGTAAAAGTGGAAGAGACTGAAATCTCTATTAGTCGAGGTGAGGAGAAAACTTTGCTGAAGCAGGAGGCTAAATCCTCTGAAGAAAAAGATGATTGTGAAATAGAACCTACCAGGAACCAACTCTGCTCTCAGGATCTTGCTGTAGTTGAGAACCATACTCAGGAAAGAGACTATCTTGAAGACTCAGAATCAAGCCGAGATGAGGGCCAGTATTCTTGTGAAGTGTGCGATAAACATTTTACGCTCAGTAGTTCTCTAAATGATCACATGAGAACTCACACAGGTGAGAAGGCTTTTATTTGTATGACCTGCGGAAAAACGTTCACTCAGAGATGTAATCTAACTCGTCATATGAGAGCCCACACTGGTGACAGGCCTTATGCATGTGAAGTGTGTGGTAAAGGTTTCAACGATAGTGGGGATTTGACTCGTCACATGAGAGCTCACACTGGTGAAAAGCCTTTCTTATGTGTGACATGTGGGAAGGGTTTTACCAGGCAAATAAGCCTGACTGCCCACATGAGAATCCACACTGGTGAGAAGCCTTATCCTTGTCTCTCCTGTGGGAAAAGTTTTACTCAAAGCAGCTCTCTAACAGTCCACATGAGAACGCACACAGGTGAGAAGCCGTACCCCTGTGGGGTGTGTGGGAAACGTTTCTCCCGGAGCTGTCACCTGAATGTTCACATGATAACCCACACCGGTGAGACATTCCCATGTCTCACATGTGGGAAACATTTCACCCACAACAGTGCCTTAAATGTCCACATGAGAATTCACACAGGGGAGAGGCCGTACCTGTGTGGATTATGTGGTAAGTCCTTCTCTCGGAGTAGCCTCCTGACAGTTCACACAAGAACACATTCGGGTGAGAAGCCCTTTTCGTGCGAGGTTTGTGGAAAGTTCTTCTCACGACGAAGCCACCTGACATATCACATTAGAACGCACACGGGGGAGAAGCCTTTCTCCTGCCAGACCTGTGGTAAGTGTTTTAGTGGCAGGCACAGTCTGAAGTTTCACATGGGAACTCACACGCGTGGAAATGTGAGAGTCATTCATTAAACTGCACTGCTGGGGCACTTGAGTAGGTCAATGGTCTTAGAAACTAAATGCTAGTAAAACTGTGTCTATTAAACTATTGATAAATAGTTACTATTTAACATTAAATTTTTGTTTTTATTTTAATTTATGTCGTTAACTGATTGCTTTTCATTTCCAAAGTGGATTCCTAGAACAGAAATATGGCTACTTGTGAGAGTAGTGTGTTGTCATACTGTACTTTTACAACTTTACTGATAGTATCATGAAGTAGAACACAGCAGAATCCCTTCATTAAAAACAGGTTTTAAATGATCTCTTATTTTGATCTCATGTCTGGTGTTTAAGAAGCAAAAATAAAGAGCTGTTGATCTAAAGATGTGTTTGTGTTTGTCTTCTTGGTTCTGGCCTCGCCAATGTTTTTCCGATCACTTTATTAGGAGTTTGTTTGATCAACTTTGGTTATTCTTTTCCTAAAACATCTTAAAATAAAGTTAAATTAGTCAGATGGTAAAATGATTCTGATTTTGGGGAAAAAAAAACTCCAGATATAATTTCAATGAAAAACAACTTACAGTTTTCTTGGCTAATAGAAAGCCAATGACATTCATATCATATTTCTGGTTTTGCAGGAAATTTCAATCTTTAAATTCAAAAAGGTCCACCAAAATCAATCAGACTGCTGCAGGTAATCCAAAATGTTGTTTCTAATGTTCTCAATAAAACTAGAAAAGCAGATCACATCGCTCTGGTTTTAAAATCCTTGCACTGTACACAGTTATAGCTCAGAGAATAGATTTTAAAAACCTCCTTTGAATTTAGAAATTGCTGAAATGTTTAGCATCACAATGCAGTCAAGACTTAATATCATCGTTCAATCTTTTCAGAACATTTGGGCATCCTGGTTCCAGGCGATACAAAATAAAAAATGCCTTTGGTTTTGGAATGTATAAAAGGAAAGAAACATTTAAGACAGACAGACAGACAGACAGACAGACAGACAGACAGACAGACAGACAGACAGACAGACAGACTGATTGATTGATTGATTGATTGATTGATTGATTGATTGATTGATTGATTGATTGATTGGTTGATTGATTGGTGGCTGCATGGTGTTGCAACATAGTAAGAAAATCCTGGGTTCATATTTGCCCTTTCTGTATGGAATTTGAATGTGCTTCCCTGAACACGCATGGATTTTCTCCTGATACTCCAATTTCCTCTCCCTGCCAAAAAACATAGAACATCTGTTACCCTGTGCTGGATTGGTGACCTGTCCAGGGGGCACCCTGCTTTACACCCATAGACGTCTGACTTAGATATACAAGTAGTTTAGGATAGATGGATATTTGATACAAGATTTAGATATCGACTTTATATATAAATAAAACAATTACATATAAAACTAAAACATAGAAATAAATTTTACATGTAAATACGACTACTTTTAGATACAGATTTAACATTTATATTAAGCTTTTGCTCCTAAATGTGAGAACATTTTGTTCAATGTCAAAGTAAGGGCACATTTAAGTGTGAGAGCAAAAGCGTTTGCTAAAAGCTTTACATTTGATGCCCCACAGGACTTGGCTTTTTCATATTTGAACTGAAGAAAAGAATTTCTTGCCAAAATGCGAAGTAAATGCTATAGGTTAAATTTCTCAGTTGAAAACTTACTAGCTTTAACTTATTTCATGTTTAAAGAACATACCCCCATTATATGGTAAAAATTCACTCATCATAAATACAAGTACTATCACCTGATTAAGAACAGAAGTTACCTCAAACCTACTAGTTTCTAAAAAGTGTTTGTAAATATATATCAATAAACTGGAGAAAGACTTAAAAAAATACAAAGACAAAAGAGGGATGTGATGTCGAAGTAAACTACATGAAATTAAAATTAAACAATGACTAAAATGGGCAAACAAATGATGCAAAATTACGAATAAAACTATAATAAACAGCATAAATAAACCAAAAGATGTTGACAAAGAGGATGGAGTCAGTGTTTTAACACTAAACTGTGTCATAATTCACTTTTGGAGATTTAAAATTTTTTAAATTTTTTTATTTATTTACACAAGTCAAAGTTATCAAAAACAACAACTGTTCTCATTTTCAATTTCAAAGCGGAACTAAATTTACAGTTTCTTCCAGAGCGTCACGGCAGATCCAAACAGAGCACTGACAGTATCAGCTTTGCTCCTCGCTCTGGTTTCTAGGCAGAGTTTTTAAGTATCGACAATAAACATGTCTTCGGTTCAGCATAACAGAGCGCTTATTAATGAGCAGGAAACTGATGCTGAGGAAGGATTCCCTGAGTTTAAAGAAATCATCGTCAAGTCTGAAGAAGAGGTCGACGGTAAGCCCTGACGGCTGCATTCCACACGGATAAATATGGAAAAAAGGAAACATCGGGAATAATTTGTTTGTATGCTTTAGGGAAATATGCTCAAATGATGAACGAAGCTTCAAGTCTAGTTTGTAAAACGCTATTTAATCACGTAAGTGCGAGTTCGGGCCCATTCGTAACGTGTAAGCCAGCCCCCATTCCTAGAAAACATGGTAAAGCCCCCAGACATGGAAGAGCGGCCGCCACATTGGCTATGTTGTCCAGGAGAAACGACACGTAATCGCGTCCGCCATATTGTGAGAGGCAAGTAGCACCCTCACTATTGAGTTTCAGGTTAAAAAAAGAAAGAAAATCTTAAGTATACGTTTAGGGACAGAAAGCTGTTTCATTCAAAATTAAATGAATAAATATTGACATTCATAAATTGTCAATAAATATTCCATTAAGGAAATGTCCCAGTGAACAAAAAAAAGTAAAATATATTCATCTTATATTATTTTTTATATTACAATATTTTGCTTTATTCAAAAATGTATTTTGTTATTTATTTATTTTATCATCTGTTTTATTATGCATTTATTTTATTATTTATTTATATTAGTCTTCATCACGCTTTATGCCTGCTGGGGTCGCAAGGGTTGCTGGTGCAGACCTCCAGCAGTCCATCACAGGGCAACACCGAGTAAAACAGGACAAACAACCATTCCTGCACACACTCACAACTAAGGAGAATTAGGTGTGAGAATAATAAGCCATTTAACCTAACAGTCATGTTTTTGGACTGAGTGAGGAAGCCAGGTTACCCAGAGAGAACACACGCATGCACAGGGAGAACATGCAAACTCCATACAGAAAGACCTTGAGCGGGGAATCGAACCCGGAACCTTCTTGCTGCAATGCAGCAGTGCTACCCACTGCCCCACTGTGTTCTTATATCTAAATAAGGAGCGAGAGATTTAAGTGTTGGGTGGAGCTAGTTAGGCTTGGCGGAGTGCATCTGCTTTGCAGAAACTGAAGTGCTTCATTCATGATGACGAATCAAATCAGACTATTCCTTCTTGATGAGCTCTGTTTGGTCCTCTCACTGCCATACCAGAATCAGTCTGTGCCATCAGCTAATTTACACATATATGAGGGCAGATATTCATCCAGGTTGCCATAGATAATGTAACCATGGTACAAAGTACTTATTTGTATCCTTAAACCACCAATAAATGCTTAACTACATATAAAAAATATTTAATGACTTGTCTGAGCCAATTGGATACTTTTTTTACATTCTCTAACTTCATCATCAGGCATGGTCAGGGCAGTCAAGTAAAATATGATTACACAGTTTGTATCTGCATTTTGGTTGTTTTATTTCTTTAGATAATGCTTTTTACCATTAGTTTAAAATTGAAAGAAAAATAAACCATATTTATGCATAAATCCAAAGATGAAAAAGTTAGCTCCCAAAAGTGGCTTTTTTTAACAGATTGTGAGCGGAGGATTGACTTATTTTCATAATTAGTCTTTGATGCTCTGTTTTTGGAAAAAATAGGGATGCCATACAAACACTACATGTAATAAGTAAACATTTTTAGCCTCATATAGGCTGTATCACTGTCAAGTTCTGAAATTTTAGATTCTTGTTGGTACTATATATATACAGGTGCTGGTCATAAAATTAGAATATCATGAAAAGGTAGATTGATTTCAGTAATTCCATTTAAAAAGTGAAACTTGTATATTATATTCATACATTACATACAAACTCATATATTTCAGATGTTTATTTTGTTTAATTTTGATGATTACAAATGACAACAAATGAAAATCTCAAATTCATCATATCAGAAAATTAGAATATTACTGAAGACCAATAAAAACAAAGGATTTATAGAAATGTTGGCCAACTGAAAAGTATGAACATGAAAAGTATGAGCATGTACAGCACTCAGTATTTAGTTGGGCCTCCTTTGGCCTGTATTACTGCAGCAATGCGGCGTGGCATGGAGTCGATCAGTCTGTGGCACTGCTCAGGTGTTATGATAGCCCAGGTTGCTCTAATAGTGGCTTTTAGCTCTTCTGAATTGTTGGGTCTGGTGTATTGCATCTTCTTCTTCACAATACCCCATAGATTTTCTATGGGGTTAAGGTCAGGAGAGTTTGCTGGCCAATTAAGAACAGGGATACCATGGTCCTTCAACCAGGTACTGGTAGCTTTGGCACTGTGTGCAGGTGCCAAGTCCTGTTGGAAAATGAAATCTGCATCTCCAAAAAGTTGGTCAGCTGCAGGAAGCATGAAGTGCTCTAAAACTTCCTGGTATGTGGCTGCGTTGACCCTGGACCTCAGAAAACACAATGGACCAACACCAGCAGATGACATGGCACCCCAAACCATCACTGACTGTGGAAACTTTACACTGGACTTCAAGCAACGTGGATGAAGTGCCTCTCTTCTTTTCCTCCAGACTCTGGGACCTTGATTTCCAAAGGAAATGCAAAATTTACTTTCATCAGAGAACATGACTTTGGACCACTCACCAGCAGTCCAGTCCTGTTTCTCTTTAGTCCAGGCAAGACGCTTCTGACGCTGTCTGTGGTTCAAGAGTGGCTTGACACAAGGAATGCGACAGCAGAAACCCATGTCTTTCATACGTCTGTGTGTGGTGGTTCTTGAAGCACTCACTCCAGCTGCAGTCCACTCTTTGTGAATCTCCCCCACATTTTTGAATGGGTTTTGTTTCACAATCCTCTCCAGGGTGCGGTTATCTCTCTTGCTTGTACACTTTTTTCGACCACATCTTTTCCTTCCCTTCGCCTCTCTATTAATGTGCTTGGACACTGAGCTCTGTGAACAGCCAGCCTCTTTAGCGATGACCTTTTGTGTCTTGCCCTCCTTGTGCAAGGTGTCGATGGTCGTCTTTTGGACAACTGTCAAGTCAGCAGTCTTCCCCATGATTGTGTAGCCTATAGAACTAGACTGAAAGACCATTTAAAGGCTTTTGCAGGTGGTTTGAGTTAATTAGCTGATTAGAGTGTGGCACCAGGGGCCATCAATTTTGAACCTTTTCACAATATTCTAATTTTCTGATATGATGAATTTGAGATTTTCATTTGTTGTCATTTGTAATCATCAAAATTAAACAAAATAAACATCTGAAATATATGAGTTTGTATGTAATGTATGAATATAATATACAAGTTTCACTTTTTAAATGGAATTACTGAAATCAATCTACTTTTTCATGATATTCTAATTTTATGACCAGCACCTGTATATATATATATATATATATATATATATATATATATATATATATATATATATATATAAAAAGGTCACTCACTCTAATACTTTGTTGGACCGCCTTTAGCTTTGATTACAGCACTCATTCGCTGTGGCATTGTTTGATTTGATTTATTTCCATCCAGTGTTGCATTCATTTTTCACCAAGATCTTGCAGTGATGATGGTAGAGTCTGACCGCTGCGCAAAGCCCTCTCTAGCACATCCTAAAGATTCTCAAGGGGGTTGAGGTCTGGACTCTGTGGTGGCCAATCCATGTGTGAAAATGATGTGTCATGCTCCCTGAACCAGTCTTTCTCAATTTGAGCCCGATGAATCCTGGCATTGTCATCTTGGAATATGCCTGTGCCATCAGGGAAGAAAAAGTCCATTGATGGAATAACCTGGTCATTCAGTATATTCAGGTAGTCAGTTGACCTCATTCTTTGAGCACATACTGTTGCTGAACCGAGACCTGACCAACTGCACCAACCCCAGATCATAACACCACCCCCACAGGCTTTTACAGTAGGCACTAGACATGGTGGGTGCATCACTTCACCTGCCTCCCATCACTCTGGAACAGGGCAGATGTTTTCTCTGCTTGATGCCTGCCAATGATTTGACCCTTCTCAAACAGACTAACATCTTTTCCACGACCACGGGATGTGTCTTTCGACATGGTTGTTTAGGAAATGAGAAGCAAGTCATTGCACCAGTTGGGGTTAAATAACTTGTTGCCAGCTGAAAGATAATCGCCCATGCAGTAATTATCCAGTATTTTATTTTTTTTCACCTTATCTGGAGTTGCTATTGATGTCTGAGTTGAGCTGGATGTCACTTACTTCTTAGTGTCCACAAAATCCATCTTGAATTTTATCTAGGGCTGAAACAATGAATCGGATTAATCGTGATTAATCGAGTATTGAAATAATTGTCAACTAATTTAGCAATCAATTAATCATTAACTGGAGTTTAAGCTGGGCATACACAGTGTGATTTTTTTTTTTTCAATCGTTGCATGCAGCTACAGCTCACACTGAAAGACGAAACCCTACGGAGTTCGAAGCTCACTATGCATTTTCTCACATTGTGCGGCATGACGTTCTGATGCGATCATCCTGCTCACACTGTACGTCTAAAAACGACGTCGGACTGAGCTCCGCAGTGAGATGGTGCTACTCTGACTCTATCCGGAAGCCAAACCAGTAGAAGAGGAATATGAACCTCACTAGAGTGAAACGCGCTGCCTTGGCAATTTGTGTAATTTTGTGTGCTGAGAAGGCCCTACGGAGAAAAGGGGGCGACGTATTTGGACAAAGACATGGCTAAGGAAATGTGGCTGCTATGGTCTGTCGATTTTACAGAAAGAACTCCATCTCACTCACACCCCCGCCATGCTTCTAAGAAGAAGAAGAAGAAGAATCCTTTGTTTGCGCATGCGAACGGTCGACTGAAAATCAAACATGTTTGATCTTCTCCCGATCTCGCCATTCCTGATCGGGAGGTGGTTGTGACAGGCTGATCGCCCCTTGTTACTCCCTGTACACTACACGACGCACGATCAGGCTGAAAAATTCTCGCACGACTGGAAAGTCGGCCATAAAAAGGCAAAAAATCGCACGGTGTACGCCCGGATTTAGAGAGTCCAAAACATGTGTTAGGGCTAATAATAACAACCCCTTATTTTCCTAGAAATAAACCAACACAATCAGTTACTTTTCTGCAAAAGAGGAGAGTGGACCCAGATGGAGAATTACACTCCCTGAATGTGTGTGGTCAACTCTGTCAGGACATCTCTGTGTTCTGCTTTTATTGTTTTACTACAAAGAAGGATCAGGACGGCTCAGAAGTTTACACATGATAACGCATGACAGTTCCTTGTGCAGTTTTATTGTGGGTGATGATTAGTCACCTGCATATAAATATGTAGGTGAGATATATATATATCTAGAGGAAACTGGACTGAGTTTTCAAAACACGAAGAGAGGCTGTTTAATTTTGCAACAGTGCAATGCTGCCAGTGGCCTTTATGGAACTAAACCTGATAGTTAGAAATCTAGCACCCTTAGTGCCTATGTTTTACCCAGCACTGCTAAAATTATTGAATTCACACATCGAGTAAAATGTGTTTCTGGATAGTTTCTATGCTTATCTGTTCTTCCTTTAACCCCTGTGTCCTTAAGTGGAAAGAGATAAAGCAGAAGTGACCAAACAGGAAAAGAAAGCACGGATACAAGAAATCCACCCAAGATGACAACTAGGGAGGCAGAAAGAGACACAACTTAAAGCTGCATAATAGTCTGAGGTATGAGTAGGAAAATGTATGACCTGCAGATAATATAAACACCGTTTATATAACACCGTAAAATAACACCGTTTTCAAAAGTTGATCCTCAGATTCTGCTCTTACTAAGTTATATTGGTGTCATTCGGTTGTAGTCATGCAGCAGCTTAAGAAACTGCAGTTTTTTGATTATTTTCTTCCTTTGTTATGGGGAAAATGGTAGATTATGTCCACCGATTAAACTCAGACAACTCTTGCTTGTAAAAAAAAATGTATTGTTATCTTATAACCTAGTTTCTATTCTACAGGGTATACATTGTAGTGGAATACATAACATTATTTCAAGTTTTTTAAGTGCAAGAAATGCAAAAATCATTGAAGAGAGAATTAATCTTAATACCTTGAACCTCGAAGTGAAAAACATTATACAGATTAAAAGCACACAGACTGTTCTTAAGTCTTTATTTCTGTTTATTATGATTTCAAGCTCAATATTTTCAATCTGACGAAAGTAAAGAGGGTTGTTTTCAAACTCACATTTGTATGTTTTTCTGTTTTCTTTCTTCTCTCCCAGATATGCCACAATATTATTCGTGCAAAGATGAAGAGCAGATCTCTAACCAGGAGAAGGAAACCAGTTTGAACCAAAAGGACACAGAACTTCAGCAGATGAAACGGGGCCAAGAGGAACAAGAGCACCTACTGACACAAGAGGAGCAGGGAGAACTGGTGCATCTGGAGATAAAGGAGGAAGAAGAGGAACTCTGCATCAGTGAGGATCAGGAGGGTCTTGTGTTGAAGCAGGAGACAGATAACTTAACAACTGTTGGTAATATGGAAAAATCCCCCTTTAAACATAACCGAACCAAGCTTGACCAAGCCAATCAGGAAGGAAACAATCCAGAAGACTCCGGATCCAGAAGAGATGAAGAGCCAAAACAAAATAACAGCCTTTTGAAAACTCACACATTCAAGAATCTGTACTCCTGTCAAATCTGTGGCAAGATTTTTCCTCAAAATAGTCACCTGACAAGACACATGAGAATTCACACAGGTGAGAAGCCTTTCACGTGCGTCACGTGTGGAAAAAGCTTCAGTCAAAAAGGTAATTTAGCTTATCACATGAAAGGCCACACAGGGGAGAAGCCTTTCTCATGCATCACCTGTGGAAAAAGCTTCAGTTTCAAAAGCATTTTACTCATCCATGCAAGAATTCACACAGCTGAGAAGCCTTTCTCCTGCTTGACCTGCGGAAAAAGTTTCACCCAAAAAAGCAGTTTGACTTATCATATGAGGGTTCACACAGGTGAGAAGCCATTTTCCTGCATGTTCTGTGGAAAAACCTTCAGGCAAAGATCCAAGTTAACGCGTCACACTAGAATTCACACAGGTGAGAAGGCGTAAAACTCAAAGCATTAGGGTGCTTTGTAACTGAACATTTAGATGCTGCAATGATTAACTGAAAGAATCACACTAAAATACTAATTACACTAGGGGTCACCAATGTTTTTAAGGCTGAGAGCTACTTCATGGGTACTGAGTCATAGGAAGGGCTACCAATACTGACCTATGAACTGGAGTGTTCAACTAAACCTCATTCTTAATAAATATATTTAGGATATTTTAATAAAGGAATTTGAATAAATGATTAAATGCTATATATATGATTACTATAATGAAATAGTCTTTAAATTATAAAAAAAGAAGGTAAACAAAATCAAAAACAGTTTAAAACTTAGTCCATTGGTGATTTTTTTTCTGTTCTCAGAAGACACTCAGAGCACCCCATGTAGTCCTAGAGGGCCCCTTTGTGTCTGCGGGCAGGTCGTTGGTGACCCCTGAATTACACTATCATGTAATGTTGTGCCAACTGTAACTTCCTAGTTTAAAGGGAGTTTATGAAGTGTACCAAACAGTGATAATATTTAATTGTTTGTCTTCCTCTAAATATAACTTCTATGACTTAATTCCTGACGAAGCAAGTCTGACTTGTGACATTTATCAAGTACATCCTTTCATCCAGTAACCAGACTCTTTTTTTTTTTAGGGGAAAGTTTAGTTTCAGCAGTTTAAAGAATGTGTTGGTGAAATTATTTAAAAGACTGATTCAAAAGTATTTTTCTTTTATATGTATAGCCAGGTTTTTAAGATCCTCTTGTGATCGTTTTTTTTTTCAGCTAAAACCCAGCCTTTTCATATTGTCCATAGAACTTCATACAAATGGAAGTTTAATGAAGTTTTTATATGAATGTCTTCTTCATGTTCAGTGTTATAAATAGGAAAGAAATAAAAACCTGGTTGGTGTAAATTCATTAAGGTGTCTGTCTTTTTTTTCATAATTGTAGCAGGTCTTCAACATAATTCCAAAATTTATTCTTAATAGTATTTCATCTCTACGTCCCTCGGCTGGCCCCCGGAGGCGCCTCGGGCTTCCCAGCAGAGATGGAGGAGCTGTCTGCAGAGGGGGAAGCTTGGGAGTCTCTGCTGAGACTGTTGCCTCCGCGACCCGGTCTCGGATGAAGCGGGAGGCAACAAATATATTATCTCTACAAGATGTGATTGATTTTAAAAATAATTTCTAATCCAGTCATAGTGTGGTAAAGTGAACTCTACAAGTCAGCTTGTGATTCAATTCCGTTCAAAAATACTTTTTAATCCCAAAGAGAAATTCAATGTTTCAAAGTAGCTCATCTGTTTTCTCTTATATTTTAATTACTTAATGTATTAACATACTAACTTGGCTCATAAAAGAAAAAAAGGTGATGCCAGCTTTGTATCTCATCTCTATTTGAAATACTGCTGTATGTAGTCACAAATCTATTACTGTTGATAAAATAAGAAAACATCTGACCCTAAAAAATTGGTGTTTTATCATGTAACTACCCACATTTATGATGCATTAGACAATGTAGCTCCTTAAATAAAATAATTGGTCAGGAGGACGGCTTCCTGGATTAAATAGCCATGCAATGAAAGGAGACTGCTTTGAAAATTAACTGAATCCAGTGCTATATACACCTGGAGGAGTAATAAATAGTGTGGAAAAAGTCTGTTCAGGAAACCTTAGCTGGGGTAAAGCAACATAAACATTTCAATACTATTTTTTAAAAAATACAGTTGCCAGATAATATATCCAAAAAAAAAAAATGCAGCTGATAGGATTGCATTACATGGCCTATAAACGTAACTTTGAAATTCTTGTTACTGAGTTTGAAACTGTTTGATGGCAGGAATAAATTGACAATATGTTTCTATGTATAGTTAGGATTATTTCTACCATTATATAAAAGCTCATTTGAATGAAATATATAAATAGATATGTTAGACCTAAACTGATAGAACTTAGATTATGCTTATGTATTAATGAAAATCCTCCTTTGTTTTAATCTTTAGATCGGAGGTGTTCAACACGGGGTTAGGTACTTCATGGGGGGTCGCGTAAGTTTTGGTTCATTAGACTTTTTGGGTTTTTTTTCATATTGCCCCCTGCAATTTTTTCTGCTATTTAAAATGTCTTTAAATACACATTAACATGAATTCAACACACTGTAGTAAACAGATTAATGGAGCGAGAAGATGTGTTTCAGTCATCAATGCACACATTCAGCAACACACAGGAGCTCTTTCAAGCTGGGCACCGTTTCATTCAAAACACCTGTCTATCAACCAGGAATCAGAATCAGAAATACTTTAATAATCCCAGGGAGAAATTACTTTTGTTACATTAATCCATCTGTAATAGAGTGACTATAGGACCAGTTTGATATATCACACTTTCATACAATGTATATAATTGGGGGGTCCCCGCTCCATCTCGCCATCAGTTTGGGGGTCCTTGACCTGGAAAACGTCGAAGACCCGCCATTTGTTTTGTACTTCATAATTCAAATTTTTATTAAACTCTTAATGTAAAATAATATATATATATATATATTATTATTATTATTATTTTTTTTTTTTTTTTTTTCTGGATGCACTTAACATGGACATGATAAAGAGTTAAGAGTTCAGCCTTGGAAACACTTGGAGGATTCTTGTAAAATTTGGACTACTGCCTTCCGACAACAAAAAGGCAAGTTATAGAAATGTGGCAAACGGCTTTAACTCTTTTTTACACAAACCAAAACATATGAGCTAGTGTACCTTTGAATGTGTCGCACACAGTACAGGTGAAAAAATAATGTTAAATTCTGATTTTCAACATTCTCATCAGTCCTTCATATTTGTTATGCATGCACAGATTTAGTCCTGGGAAGATAATTCTTTAAAATGCCCAGTATTACCAGGAATAAAACACTTCAAATATATTGTTTTTCACAGCTTCTTATGTGGATGCTGGAGAGGAAGATGCTGCGATTCCCTCAAGTAAGTGAAAGCTTTGGGACCGTGGAGGTTCACTGTGAGGGAAATCTCTCCTTGCACGTTGGTCTAATAAATGGCCTTGATTTGGAAAGAGGTCTATCTGAAGATCTGAAATTCAGATAATAAAAATCAGTTAGTATAAGAAATAATACCCTTCAAAAGTCAGAAAAAGAGTTTAAATATAACTTTGAAATGTATCAATTAATTCTAACTGAGTGGAGATTGAGTCTCTTTCAGCTCCTTATTTAGGATTTAAGGTTCCTTCTCTTAAGATTCTTCAGATGACTTTACACTTATTTGTCTTTGTAATGACCTTCTTCTTTCTTAGACACCTTTAGTGAGCTGGGGAATGCATAGGAATTGTTCTAGTGGGAAGAAGCACCACTGAGAGGACATGGTCCGTTCCTCTTATCTGTTCAGGGAGATAACACTTCCATTTCAAAGGTCACAGGGCCTTACTTTGCAGCAGCGGTTTTTTTAGTTGGACTAATACACACAGTATTAGATATTTATGATTATATAATAAAATTATCTTCACGACGATTTCTCAACAAAGTTAATCAATTATATATAGAGAATACAGGCACAGTTACTCAGAGTTTACTACTGTTTGTTCAGGCTACCTTAGAGAATAGAGACCCATCCAAATGGCGGCAACACAGGATGTGCTCCAGCAGGCAGTGAAGAGTCTGAAGAAGATGAGAAAGAATGGGAGGGAAAAAAAACATGCACTTCTTTCAGTTAGAAGAAATTTTGAATATGTGTTAGTTTTCTGGGTTAGAAATATACAAAAGTGTTCAGTGAAATATCTTTATAAATAAACTCCTGCTTCAGAAACTTTCAGTAGTAATGTAGGTATTGCATTTCTGGACTTTAGTGCAGCCTGTATTCTTCTGGATCATTCACTGTTACTTGACCAGTTATCTGCATATGGATTCAAAGGTCATACATTACATATAATGAGTAGTTACCTGGTTGATAGAAAACTGTATTAGTTTCCATGGTTCATTTTCAGACACTGTAACCCTTGAATTCCACAAGGCAGCTTTCTTGGTCCCTTGCTTTACAGTATTTATGTGAATGATATGTCATATGTTTTGCATTAGGCCTGTATGACTGTCTATGCAGATGACACAACTGTAAATGTCTATCATCAGATCAGTATCAGGTTAAAAATATCCTACAACAAGAACTATAATTGGTGCATCAGTGGGTAGTGCAGAAAAGGTTAAAGCTGAATGTGTTAAAGACAAAGTGTATGATGTTAGGCTCGAAACATGCCAATGGAGATGCACCAATGTTAAATATAACTTTAAACCACCAAGCTTTTGGGCAGGTGACTGAAATTAAACTATTGGGTGCTCCTTTAGATCAAACAATGTCTTGGTCTTCACATATTAATAATATTGTGACCGAAATGAGCAGAAACATCTCATCAATTAGAGGAAACACCAATTATATGTCAATCGAAACAAGGAAAATGGTAATACAGTCTTTATTTTTATGTCATTTGGAATATTGCTCTATTATGTGGTCAAATGCTACTCAAAAAGACGTCAGCAGACTCCAGATAGATCAGAACTAGGCAGCAAGACTGGCTTTCTCAAGACCTTCGTAACTTTATTGTTGCAAATTATAATGGTGGCAATGGTTACGTAAGGATTTCTAAACTTCTGAATGTTGGAAGTGGAAAGAACATAATTTAACCATACACCAACCATAACCAGGGGCTCCTCTCAAGATTTCTGACAGAGGAGTGAAAAGAATTATCAGAAGAATTGTCCAAGAGCCAAAAACCACTTGTGGAGAGCTTCAGAAAGACCTGGAATTAGCAGGTAAATTAGCAAGAGACCCACAAAACCTTCAAGATTTGAAGACTTTGTGGAAGAATGGGCCAAAATCACACCTGAGCAACGAATGCAACTAATTTCTCCATACAGGAGGCTGTGATTACCAGCAAAGGCTTTTGTACAAAGTATTAAATACAGTTTACTGTTTTCAATATTTTGGACTGTGCCATTTCGCTCTACTTTATTACATAGAACTTCATTTCTGAACATCTATAGTTTGATTCCTTTGTATGTGTGGATTACATGGATTGTTACTGACATCTGAGCAGCACCACTAGCAAATATATTTTGCTGAGAAAAATGGTCAATATGGTTCAATATGTATTCTTCCAGCTATATTATATATATATATATATATATATATATATATATATATATATATATATATATATATATATATATATATATATATATATATATATATATATATATATATATATATATATTGACCAATTTCAGCCACTACCCAATCTTCTACTGCATCTTGTATGTCAAAGCAAATGAGTTGGAAATAGTAGTAATCTATTCCTTTCAAGTATCAACAGGTGGACTTTTAGTTCACAAGGTGTGTCCGTCATGAAAAAAGGCCTTAACTGACGTCTGATTTCAGCCTTTGCAATACAACTACACAACTTAAAAAAATTACGTACCACCAGTGTGGAATTAAGGTGGTTGTAACCTAAAAACATGACTTTTTCTCAGCATGTTCCCTTCAAGACTGACCAGGATTTGAAACATCATGTCCGCTTACCAGCTTTTCTCAATCTGATGAAAAAATACAAGACACAAAATCATATATTTCTATCTCTGATCATGGTCACTGTGAGCATCCATTATATAACAGACTGTTACATGATCCAACTTTGTATAACAGCTGGAATAATTCCACTGATGTGTGGAACCTAAACAGAGAGGTATAATAAAGTAGTATAAAGCAAAGACATGAGACATCTATCAAGCTCAATATAAGTAGAGAACAAACTTCCATGCTTTGTTTAGCAGCCAGCTATGGAAAAAGAGCCATGAATACAGAGAGGAGCAGGGTCCTAAAAGTGGAAAGCTGACTTCCCATGCATCAGGGTCTCACTTGCACCAGGGGAATGGTCTGGTTTTGCATTAAGTGCACTTTAAGAGAAGGATGCAGCAATCAAAATCTTTTAGTGTCTCTATACATCGCAATAGACATGCTGCATTGAGAATATAAAAATAACTTCTCTATCCTAATGTGTTATTTTCTTACATTAAGTGCAGCCATTCTGTTTAATAGAATAGATACCTATTCTGTTTTTAAAAGCATTTAGCATGCTAAAATTTTTTTAAAAGGCATGTTTGCAGCCAGTTAGGGTATGCCTGTCAATCTCTTGTCATTAGAATTAATTGACGGCATATGATGGGACCATATGGTCTATCAACAAACCCAGCTTTCTAGTATATGGAGGGAGGGAAGGGGTAAGGAGGGACTATGATCCAGCCATATGGATAAGAAAGATGTAAAACCAAAGGGAGACCGAGGCAGGGGTGGATAGATGGGTTTGGCACACTCCCATGAGTAGTTAGAACGTCATATTAGTATCAATTACTCATGCATAAATGCATCAATGAATAAGAGAGATGGATGCATGAATGAAAGAATGCAAAGTTATGAAATATATGGTGAGAAAAAACAGAGGAGGGAGGAGAAAGTTCTTCAGGTGAAGAAAATTAAGATTTCTGAATGGATTATATCCCAATTTTATTACCTCTCCTATTTCTCTTCGCTTTACATGTTTTTATAATGAGTTTTTAGGATTTTTATATTAGGGTTTATTATATTTTTGGTAAAATACGTTTTTGGATGTCTCTATTTATTAGTCTGATGTAATACAGTTAATAATTCATGTTTTCATTATAGTTGTAATTATAAAATCGTGATAAAAAAAAGAAAATCAATTGTGAAAACATGAGTCTATCTAATTCATGTGTTTCACTCAGTGAGTACCTTATTGAGCTACGGAAATGCATTATTGTTTTTTTATTGAATTTATTTTATATGATTGTAAATTATAAGCGATATTTCGCAAATATCAAAGCGGAACTTAACCTGGTTTTTAGTTTCCTCGGTACAGTTACAGTGAGACACCCAGAGAACTAGCGTTAGCTTTTTTTTTTTTTTCTAGCTGGAAGGTAGTTTGTAGAGGGGATTGGGTTTTTAAAGGTAAATATGTGAAATTTTGATCTAAAAATGTCTTCAGCTCAGCTTCAGAGAGACGCTATCAACGAGGAGTTAAATCCTACCGAAGAAAAATTTACAGATATTGAAGAAATCATCATAAAATCAGAGGAAGAGATCGAGGACCAGGATAGTCAGCTGGATTCCAGCCAAACACCACCTTTCATCCCAATAGGTATGAAACACCGGCTGTAGATGTTAGCATTGAGGAAGGGGTTTTTTCAGATGTTGGCATCCGATTCAACTAAAATAATTATTGCTTTTTATCACAATAATATTGAAATTAGAGCTTGTGTTCCGTGACACCCATACCTCTACCCTGTTCTTTTAAGCTGGGGCTCAGCTATCTTCTTTGTAAGGGCTATGCACTCATATTACAGTTGCCCCACTAGCTGGGATTTTCGTTTTTAAGTTTATGTCTTTAGATTTTATTTATCCATGGACATATACAATATTTTATTAGAGATTATCCTACAATCACATCTGTTTCACATTCTCCTCTCTGTGGTCTGACTTGCTTTCTCCCTGCAATAACTTTCTAGAAAAGAAACAGTGACTAGATGATCAATAAAAAAATTAAACCATTCTTATTATCTAGGACTTAGATAATGAGTGATATAGTCAAGCAAGCAATATTTAAGAGCAGTATATAAATTATACATCTTACAAATGTACTTTTTCCAATATAGATAGTATAGGTGCCGATATGGTAGGTGTCAATACTTTAAGGAGATGCCACAATTTGAGGGGGATGCAACTGCTTTTGCTGCTGTTTGGGGGTGAGATGCCACACAACATGCTGTCATGTTTACTAATGTAAACACGAGACTACGTATTGCATGTAGAAAAAAATGTATTCAACTCTTATTCTTCTCTCATATTCCAAAACATACTGTAATGTGGCCCAGGGGAGCCACCAAGAATTTGGGGTCCAATGAAAGACATTGATTCTAAGATGATTTATTTCACTCCAAGGTTTTCTTTTTATATTTGAAATATCTAGTGGGAAATATATTTTCTTCTTCTTTTGGGCCCCCCCTCAGCCTAGGGCCCTTAGACTCTTCCTAACTTTTCCCCATATGCCGCCCCTGGTCCCCACTATGTTACAAACATTATGAAATTATACAGCAAAGCTGCATGAAGCTGAAATCCCACCCACTTAGAAAGTGGACTACTAGTTTAAGCGAGTTTACTCTGAAAGATAATATGTGAACTTTGCTGACTAAATATATAACATTAAAACTCATCAATGGATCCAACAATATTGGGATATTGGGAAGTAGTCAGGTAAACTGCTGCAGTTATGTCCTGTCTAAGAAACTGATTTTGATTAATTGAAAATAACATTAGACCAAAATTGGGTGATGTGATCCAAAATCAGATCTAATTTGGTGCTCACTGCATTTTAGACAGAGTAGCCTGTTTGCATTATCATGAAACAAAATTTGAAAGAAGACTGGTCAGAATAAAACCTAGTAAATCCATGGTGGTGCTTCCATGTAAATGTTGATTTCCAGACATGACAAAAATAATTTAGTAGTGTGGATACAATGCTTAATAAGATCAATTCTGATCATGTTCAACCTGCTACAAAACCTTATTCTGATGTAGCCTTTACTTAAAGGAAAATATAAACATAAACACATAATCACAAAATCATAATCAACATTTCAGACTACATTTAGTCCTATATAACAATATTATTAAAATATTGCACAATGGGTATCTAGTATGAAATGAGTAATTACTGTCTTGCTGTTTGTGTTTAGAAAAGTACTGGGCAAGCTTAAAGTGGCTCATTATCAGCACCACATTTCTGTTTCTCTTTTCAGATACAGTTCCAAAAATAGGCTTAGGCTGCTTCAGAACATAAAGCTCTCTGTTTAGCTGTGACACCATCCTGGAGGGAAGCATTAGTTGGGCTGCTGCTGTCAACAACTTCAATTATAGATGATTTAGCTAGCCCTTGTTTTCAATGTTAAGACAGATGAGTTTGGAGCTGATTTATAGGACAAAAGAATGAAGGAGAGCAGTGACAGTTAAAGCTGAGCCCATCGCTGTGTCTAGGAGAGACATAGGCAATCCTAGATATCGCTGAACAAACCTACCTACATATATGGCTTTGTCTAAAAAAAGAAAAGGCCACTTATGGAGCTAGCCCTAAAAAGTATTTATGGATCAGTGCTGCTAACTTCCTTTTGTGTTTCAGCCTCTGTTTTTTTTTTAAACCCCAGTCGACCACAACAGAAGGCCATTCACACTGAACCTGCATGTTTGGCATTGTCACAGGCTCAGTGTGAATGATTTCTGTAAACGACACAGTTTAAGCGAATGCCCACTGTCGCTGCCTACTTATCTAGGAGAAGTGAATTCTGCAAAGTCAATGACTCGATGCAATCTGCAGGGTTTCCTAGATAGAAAACTTTAACCAAACTTTCTCTATGATTTGTTTGAATGACGTGTCAGGACATGGTGCTATATAAATAAACTGAACTGAACTATCCAGCATCTGCCAAACCTTGGACTGCAAGCTTACATTCCTTTGCTGTTTTGCAGCTGTTTTGTCTCATCTTTCTCAGCTGCCTCTTGTAATGCTTTAACTGTAACTGTCTCCTCTGATTTAGCACAGAGCAGTGATGTAGGAGCTGCATAACTAGATCCTGCTGACTGGTCTTCTATATTAACGGGTAATGCAAGAATAGGGTTCTACTTCAAAAACAGTTTCACATTTCCAACAAAAGTATGGAAGATATCATCAGTGCTATTTTAAGTCTCAGTTGCTGGACAGTAAATAAAGAGAAGTTATTCGATTTACTCAAAAAAATAATGCAATTTAAACTTCTTTTTTTTTTTTTTTTTGCGGGTCGGGGGCGGGTTTATTGAACTAGTGGTTTGATTTTTGGACAGTAGGCTGACAGGAAAGGGGGTATGCGAGAGGATGAGAGACATGCGGCAAAGATTCAAACCTGGGTTGGCTGCATTGAGGACTAAGGCCTCTGTACATGGGGCGTGTGCACTAACCACTGCGCCCGTAAGCACATCCCCTTTAGTCTGTTTTTGAAGAGAATGAAATGAGATTGAAATACATAAGTGGAGAAATTGGCAAAATGGAGGGTATCTTCCCTTAGACACATTTTTATTCTTTGATTTTTTAGGTTAATAAGGGAAATTGGATAGAAACTGATTTGTGGGACTTATTTTTTAATGCTGTTCTGAAGTTTTGCCGTTTTGTTGCTTCTGTATTTCTTCACATGTTCTGTAGGACAGCACTATTTGAAGTATAACAGTGATAGTTATTGTTGAAGTGATAGTTACACATGTTGACCTAAATGTGTTGTAATTTTCCTATTAACATATAAATAGCTGTCTGTAATACGTAAAAACAAATAATATCTTCTCAAAACCCACCTGATCGCCGGCGACTGTTTTTATTACGTTTACAACTAACAACTCAGAAAGCATGCAAATTACAATGGTAACATTTTTACCAATATAGACGTTTTAGACATCGTTGGAAAGCTTAGATTCTACACAATTTAACCACCTAGTTCATTTTATGGACACAGCGAGCACCAAAGCACAATTAACACAGATATAGCATCCACTATATCTGGCCAATGTGCATGCTAAACTGCATTCGAAGGAGCCAACATGTGTGCTAAAGTACCCTCTTGAAAGGCCAACAGGCATACTAAAGTGCCCCCTGGTAAGCTTAAACTGGTGCCTTAGTGTTCTATTCAGTGGTAAGGGTGTTCCTTATGTGCCCCCTTTTTTACCACTGTTGAGTGGTTTATATGATCAGAACATTTTATACATTTGAACCTTTTTATATATATATATATATATATATATATATATATATATATATATATATATATATATATATATATATATATATATATATGTATATATGTATATTTATTGTATAAATAGTTTCTATCCAGAAATATTAAAGACATTCTGATGTCATATTTTTAGACCTCTATTTCACCTCTGGTCTGTAGAAAATTTTGGTCAGGTTTGTTTTTGTTTAACTTTGTGATAAACCCTTTGTAGCTGCATTAAATGATTCAAGTGAATGGTTCTTTAACTTACCTCTATGCACTTTTGTTTTCTTTCTTCCAGATCTCCCAGAAAATCGTCTGTTTAAAGAGGAAGGACTTTTTTCTGAGCTCAGCCATCAGGAGGGGAACTTCACTTTAGACCAAGAAGAGCCAGAACCTTTGCAAATATACCAGGGACAAGAGGAAGTAAGACATATACAGATCAAAGAGGAAGAGAAGCAACTCTGCATCAGTCAAGATGAAGAGCAGCATTTACTGAAACATGAGATTGGTGAGATTTTGGCGTTTCCTTTCAATGAGGAAACCCTCCACAATGACAGGGATCAGCTCATCTTTCAGGCATTCCCTGAATTTGAGACCCAGGATCAAGAAGGCAGCTATTCTGAAGCCCCAGGCAAAAAGAGACATAAAGTTTCGGAAAAAAGAGAGAGATGCCAGAAAACAAAGCAACAGAAAGTGATTGCCAACTGTTCAAAACAAAACACACCCCAGAAAATGCACCAAGACCAAAATGCATCTTCTTATGAAATGTTTGGTAACATATTTTCTCAAAACAGTCACTTGAATACAGACTTGACAACTCGAACAGCTGTGAAACCTTTCTCGTGTAAGACTTGTGAAAAAAGTTATTGTACAAAAAATGGTTTGATATATCACATGAGAAGTCACACAGGTGAGAAGCCCTTCTCATGTACGACCTGTGGAAAGGGATATAGTGAAAGAAATAGTCTAAATTCTCACATGAGAACTCACACAGGTGAAAAGCCTTTCTCATGTAAGACCTGTGGAAAGAGTTACTATGATAAAAGTGGTTTAACTTATCACATGAGAACTCACACGGGTGAGAAGCCTTTCTCATGTACAATCTGTGGAAAGAGTTACTGTGATAGAAGTGGGCTAACTTATCATATGAGAAGTCACACAGGAGAGAGACCTTTTTCATGTAAGATCTGTGGGAAGAGCTACTGTGATAGAACTGGTTTAACCAATCACATGAGAAGTCACACAGGTGAGAAACCTTACTCCTGTGAGATCTGTGGGAAGAGTTACTGTGATAGAACTAATTTAACTGAACACATTAGAACCCACACAGGCGAAAAACCTTTTTCATGTGAGACATGTGGAAAGAAGTACCGTAAAAAAAGTGGTTTAACTTATCACATCAGAACTCATACCGGCGAGAGGCCTTTCTCATGTAAGGCCTGTGAAAAATGGTTCACTGATAAAAGTCATCTAGCACGTCACATGAAAACTCACAGTGAAGAAAGACCTTTCCCATGTATCACCTGTGAAAAACGGTTCAACAGTAGAGGCAACTTGGCACGTCACATGAGGACCCACACAAAGGAGAAGCCTTTCTTGTGTGTTACCTGTGGAAAAAGGTTTACTGCCAAAGATAGTTTAACTCTTCACATTAGAAGCCATACAGGTGAGAAACCGTTCTCGTGTATTGCTTGTGGAAGAAGTTTCAGTCGTAAAACCTCATTAACTATTCACATGAGAATCCATACAGGTGAGAAGCCTTACATGTGCATTACGTGTAAGAAAGGTTTCAGTCTTAAAAGCCTTTTATTAGTTCACAGGAGAACCCACACAGGTGAGAAGCCTTTCAGGTGCATTACCTGTGAAAAACGTTTCAGTTATAAAAGCCTTTTAACAGTTCACATGAGAATTCACACTGGCAGAAAGCCTTTCTCATGTGTAATTTGTAAAAAAGGGCTGAGTGATAAAAAGAGTTTAATAAATCACATGAGAACTCACACAGGGGAGAAGCCTTTCTCTTGCAGTATTTGTGGGAAGGGTTACATTACAAAAAATTGTTTACTTTATCACATGCGGACTCACACAGGTGAGAAACCTTTCGCATGTCCAACATGTGGAAAATGCTATGGTGAAAAAAGTGGTTTAACTTATCACATGACCACTCACACAGGTGAAAGACGTTTCTCTTGTGTGATTTGTGAAAAAGGTTTTAAAAATAGATATGATTTAAAACGTCACATGAGAACGCATGCAGGGAAGATGCCAGTTTGTCATGTGAAAATATGACGTGAAAATATTTCCACTAAAAGTAGGGCTCTGTAAAAAATTGATTGGATCAATTCATTCAATTTTATGTTTAGGGGGACTTACTGGAAAATAGGGGTTTGTTTCCATTAAGGCACTACATTAATGTATTTAATTTATCATATTTTATAATTAAATATAATCGAGAAGAGATTATAAAAATTGGTAGGAAAAATACCAAAAATAAATTTTTTAGCCATATTGCCCTGCCCTAATAACAATGTCCAATTTATGGAAGAACTCACAATGGCAAGATGGTCTAAATGTGAACCTCAAGCATAGGATAACATTGTACACTGTAGCAGATAAGTAAAATGTATTTCAGATAAGAGTTTCAACTGAAATACTTAAAACTAGCCTCTTACATTTAAATTTTCGTTTTTGGAAAGTAAAACTTTTTAAGTTAAGTGTTCTTTATAGGTTTCTAAAATGAAATTGTGTGTGTGTGTTTTTTTTTATATATGAACTTATAGACTGCGAGTTATTTGCACATTATAATAAGATTGTATCAATATCAGGGTAAATTTCATACAATATTTATCAAAAGATTTTCATTTCAATTCATGTTTAGTACAGTATACTGCCAGTTATTTAATGACAACCTCAAAGGCATTAGGCTTTCCAAGTCATGATTATATATGACATTTTGTTGTATTTTCTGTTTTAATATCTTGAATTGACTCATTGTTAAAACTACTCAGAATTGTACACTTATTCTTCTTTGTATCCTGTCTATCCTTAAGGATAATGTGATTTAATCATCACATTATCCATTTTTCAAAAATTATTAATGTGATGATTAAATATTTAACTTAAAAGGGACTAATAACAATTCTTATGCAATAAATAAGGTTTGCATTATAATCTTCCTTTTATGAGTTTACCAGGGGATTGTAAACAATTTAAAATGTTAGAGCCAAAGTTAATGTTTGTGTTGTTTTGAGCATGGTAGATGTTGTGGTGTGATGCATGTTATTTACCTGATACTTGCGACCCATCGGTTTGTTGAGTGAAAGCTCATCTTAAACTGTTTTTATGACTGACACTAACGCTTTATCTTCATATTTCATTAACCATAAACAATGTAAGACATTGTTTTAGTTCTAAAATAAATATACAAAACCTGAGTTGGACTTGGCATGGGTCATTGGAGGTGCATCTCATAACACAACCAACTTAGCCAGCTTTATTTGTAGGTCTGATGCATGTACAGGGTTGGGAGGCTAAAAGATATAATAGAAAGAACTTGCAATGAAAGCTTGGTAAAAGCAATACATAACTACTAAGTGATGAAAAAAAAAATCTGATTTTACTATATGAAAAGATCCCAAGGCGATGGGTAACATGCAGAGGTCAATTTCTCCAGTAAGAGATTAATAAAGTACAATTATTATCACACCAACGAAAAAAACGTTTTTCTATTTTTGATATAATAGAAGGAACTTGCAATGAAAGCTTTAAGTACTCATACAGTTTTATTTTTTATGCCTATGAATAAAGAAAAAGAGAAATGCAAACACCAAGTAAAAAGATAAAAAAAAAAATGTGGAGCTAAACTTGGGGCATAGAGTATAGGGTAAAACATCAACATATTTTTACTCAAGTGAATGTAAAAAGTAGTCACCCTAAGAAAAGTCCTTAAAAGCTTCAGACAAAAGTTGAAATCTGACTCATTTCAACCAAAATTGTATATATCAACAAATGCCCACTTCTTAATTTACTTTTAGTCAACACCGTTGAAATTATTCCAGTCTGAGAGTGTTTATTTGCTTTCAGGCAAAGGGTTCACTCAGCATAAAGAGGCATATAGAGGTACACTAAAAGAGCTGCAGAGGTTTGGTGAGAGGCAATAATTATGTCAGCATAAAGCCTGTGAAAGCCTTCTTAAAAGACTGGTTATATTATAGTAAACGAAAGCCTACAGAGAATTTTAAAGTGAATTCAAAGCTTTAACTAAGATCACATCAGGGAGACTGAGACTTATCAGTATCCAGTAAAAGCAAAGGGGGGCAGCCTAGGCACTACAAAACAGCAAAGGAAAAAGAAAGTTCTTGGCAATAAACTAATAGAAACAATAAAAAAACACACACAATATCCCGTTACCAGGGGTCACCCCAGTCAGCACTCATAGCCTCATTCCCTGAAACAAAATAAATCATGATCTTACTATATAAAAAAAACAAAAAAAGGATTAAAAATTCTGTAAAACTGTCCTCATTACTGTCCAATAATATGTGAAATCCAACAGCTAATGCCTACAGTGTAAAAACTGTGGATCAGTATACTTTTTATCCTATTGGCTAAACAGCAATCTATACAAATCAATCAAGATGATAATCCACCGGGGATACCATTCAGCTTAATTTAAGTCATTATTATTATTAATATTGAGCCAAATTACAAAAAAAGAAGGTATTACACAATCTTATCATTGCCTATCTGCTAATTATTTGTGAATAAATGTCAATGAACATGGTGAAGGTTTTCAGTCATCCAGGTCATAATCTTTCCAAATTGGAATGTCAATGAACATGCGGATTTATCCTTTCACAGAATGTAATTTAATAACATAACTCGTATTCATGAGTGTTGTGAATAGACTATTCTACTGCTGTATCTTGCCTTTTCTAGTCACTGTTTTATTAGAGATAATAAAAGATTTTTTACAGTTTTTAGAGAGAAGTTTTGGATTGGACATCCAATAAGGTGAAATGTTAGTTCATATCAAAAATGAAAAGGATGTAGTAGAAGAATGTGTGCTGGGTTGATTTATTTACTCTTGCACAGAACATAGATAGTTCACAAGTGCTTTGTGTTTTCCTCTTTTACGGAAAAAGGCCTTACGTGTGCAGTGATGTCAGATCATTACAAATGGCTTAGTGACTCTAATTTGGTTCTGGGGTTTCTTGTTTTCTCTTTGTGGCTTTTGTCCTGCATGTGTCTGCAGTGTTTTTGCAGAAACATTTGTTATATTGTGAGCATTCTTAATTTCATATCTGCCAAGAGATTTTTGCAATGTGGAAAAAGTCCACCTCAACCCCTCCTCTGCAGAGGGGTGGGCATATTTGATTCATAGTCATTCTTTCCAAACGTAGTTTATGGAGCAGATTCAACCTTGTCTTGGTAAAGGCACAGAGTATCCCTCTATAATAAAATGCTTAATTGGTTTGGGGCTTATTTGTCTAATTGATACTAGAGGTGTGGAGTTTAAGTTGTGGTCCAGCTGTTTTGTTTTACTACCTGCTTTCATCATGCTTTTATCTTTTTTTACTTGTACTCTGATTTTTTTCTTTTTTTATATTTCTCCTGAAGGTAATTTTAATCAATTTGCTTAAAATTGTCTTTATACTGAATTGTGCTATATAAATAACTTTGCCTTGAGTATCAAACGATTAACACATGCACTACACTGGAATATTCACACTCAAGTAAAATAGAATATAGCTCTCCAAGGACTTATTGAAAAGCAAACAATATTTGTTAAAAGCAATACTTAACTACTAAGTGATGAAAAAAAATCTGATTTTACTATATAAAAAGATCCCAAGGCGATGGGTAAAATGCAGAGGTCAATTTCTCCAGTAAGAGATTAATAAAGTACAATTATTATCACACCAACGAAAAAACACTTTTTTCTATTTTTGAAAAAAATTAGTTCAAACAATACATTGAAACTATCGGAATGTCCTCCAATGTCAAAGCAGTTAAAACTTGCACCTTATGTACCATTTACAATATTAGCAATATATTTGTGCAATATGTGTCTAAGAAAACATTGTCTCCGCTTGTGTCCCCCGCCGGCTGTTACGTGTAATGTATTCCTTTAATGTTTTGCATTGTAATAAATAATAAAAAAAGATTAGAAATGAGTGTTTGTTATGGTTTGTTTTATTTGTAAATATGCTTTTCCTTCAGCCCTGGGGCCTGTATATAAAATATTTTCATTATTCTGCAATGATATTGAAATCTTATTATTTTTCCCTTAGCCTCTGTGCAAATTTCCATTTTTATGCGTTTCAATTAATGAATTGATCTAATGAAATAATATTTATCTAATTCACATAATATGGCTGTATTAAATCAAATAAAATGCTGTATCATATAAAACAAAAGATTATCCAGTGGAAATTAGAAAATGTAAAGCGGAACAAAAAGTCGTTCACTGCTTTTTCGGTACGACATTAAAATACAGGGGACACTGACGTTATTATCGTTTTGATGGAGAGCAGTTTGAAGACGGGTTTAGTGTGTTATGTTTCATTTGGAGTTAAAAAATGTTTGTACTTGGTCTTAAGGGAGAAGTTAGCAGCGATAAATTACCTGCTGTCAGTGATGGGAGTAACGGTGTTGAAAGTAACGGCGTTACTAACACCGCTACCTTTTTTTAGTAACGAGTACTCAAAATTATTACTCTTACTTTAACTATAATGCAGTTATAGTATATAGTTATAGTATAACGCGCTTTACAGATGGAAATACTGGTGTTACGTCGAGCTGCGTTTCCCCATCAGATACGGTTTCCCCTGCATCTCCGCACAGCGCAGCGGCACGATTCACCGCGCAAGCGACAGGAAACGCGCATGCTCGCTAAAGGCATGTAACAGCCGCCCTGTGCTCACACCACATGGGAACTACGGAGAGTGTGAACGATCATTAGCCTATATGGAGAAAGAGAGAAATATGGATGGATGGATGGATGGATGGATGGATGGAATAGATAGATAGATATAGTTACATGTTGCAGTATCTATAACAACCCAAACACAGGATTTCAGAATTAGACATCCCCAGTTATTAATTTCATACACTCGCAAAAGTAACGCAATAATTACTTTTACTAGTAACTAGTTACTTTTATTGTGGAGTAACTCAGTTACTAACTCAGTTACTTTTTTGGAGAAGTAACTAGTAACTATAACTCATGACTTTTTCAAAGTAACGTGCCCAACACTGCCTGCTGTCGAAGAAACGCCCCCTGACATTAAAGAAATAATCGTCAAATCGGAGGAAGAGGTTGATGGAGGGCGCCAACAGCTGGATTTCAGTCGTTCCTCCCAGATTATTTTACATCAGTTAGGTATGAAACACCATTGATCCTAATGTTTGATTGAAGGAGTTTATGTGGTTCTATTATTGGCACAGATGGCAAAAGTACTCACTTTCCGTATTTGAGTAAAAGTACAGATACTTGTGTTAAAAAATACTCTGGTAAAAGTGGAAGTACTGATTAAACTTCTTTACTCAAGTAAAAGTAACAAAGTACAGGCTTGTAAATTTACTTAAAGTATAAAAGTAAAAGCAGAAACCACTTTTTTCATGCCGTTGCCTACATTTTAAATGGATGTCTGCCAATAGGACTAGATCTCCGTTGTGTTCATTTTCAATCATCTTGTCGTCCATACTACTATGCTAACGCCACCACAACCAAGCTGCAATGATTTGCCGCGAATGAATACAGCCAAATCTGTCGATTCATCTTTGTGACATAACGGCTCGCCAGCTCCCGTCTCACGTCAGAGGAGGTGTAAGCAGATGACTTTTAAAAAGGTGGTAAGAACCAGCGGACGACAAAATTCCAGGTCAAAAGCGTGTAGCGGTTTATTTACTGGTGTGACGGGGAAGACAAAAAAACAAACAAAAAACAAACAAAATACTTTCAAATAAAGAAAACAAAACCGGCCATTGCAGGCAATACAAAACACTGACAGCCTCACAGCAAGCAGACTTTAAATATAGTCTCTCTAAGCAGACCTTCAAAAGCAGTTTCTCCGACCAGTCTCTCCAAGCAGCCCTCCCAAGCCATTGTGAGTGTGCCCCTTAAATAGACCCACCAATAACCAGCCAATTGGGCCAGCCCAACTAAACAGGAAGGCAAATCCCCAATAAAGCACAGTTAACATTGTAGAAAACAAAATACAGACAATAGCATCATTCATTCAAAAAACATACATAATTATGAAATAGTTTAACCATGCTAACAGTCCCAATTTACCTACTAATTACCATGCTAACAATTATTACATACATTGAAATCCTACTTAACAGCCCTGTCCCATCATAGTATTTTCCCGGTTTTAGGTAGAGGGTCAGTCACAGCAAACGCTGCACTAAAATTTCCCACGAAGAAGAAACGTCGGAGGTGGAAGGCCGGAAAGATTGCATGTGGATGGTCGTTTGGTGCATGGCGCGTGTTTTGAAGCTGCTTATGGAGAAATGTCTTGGGCCGTGAGTAGTGAGGAAACAGGAAGCGATTCTTGTGGGATGGAAGAGGGAAATAGTGACAATGAAGGTTGGAAGATAGCAACATCAAAAAATGAGAAAAAGCGGAAAAAACAGAGATCAGTTCAAGGGGAATCTAGTTCAGAACAATCCAGTGATGATCATTCCATACATTCCACAGCACAACAAAATGAATTCAAAGTCATATTCAAAGTCGTTAATCAGGCAGACTCTTTTACAAATTGGAATCCGGTTCACTTAACAAAAACCATCAATAAACTTGTCGGAGAAGTCAGAGGTGCCAGAATTCTGTACAGTGGAGACCTGCTAATTAACTGCAGAGACAGCGCCCAGCAAGGCAAAGCAATACGGATCAACAAAATTGACGGGATAAGAGTTCAGTGCAGCTTAATGGAGAACAAAAAGTTCAGCAGGGGAGTCATTGGAGGAGTTCCTCTAAAAATTTCTGAAAAAGAGATTCTGGAAAACATAAGAGGTGCAAAAGTAAAAGAAGTAAAACGGTTAAAAACAACAAGAAACGGAGAAAGATCTGACAGTTTATCTGTGCTAATTAAATTCGAAGAAGAGCAATTACCAAGCAAAGTATTCATCGGTTACATAAGCTATAATGTCAAAATCTACAATCCTCCACCATTGAGATGTTTCAAATGCCAAAAATTCGGTCACATTGCAGCAGTTTGTAAAGGGAAACAGAGGTGTGGAAGGTGTGCAGGAGAACATGAGTACGGAAAATGTGGAAAAGAAGCTAAAATAAAATGCTGTAATTGTGGTGGAGAACATACTGCTGCCTATCGCGGCTGTGAAGCAAGCAAAAGGTCTGAGGAAATTAAAAAAATGAAATTTGAGCTCGGAATAACCTACGCTGAAGCTGCAAAAAGGATCCCATCTCAGTCAGAAAAACCCAAACCTACAGTTCAACACACAGCAAATTCCAAACCTCTAGAGAAATCTCTAAAAATTGATGAAGACTCACTTATTGTTAAAAAGACAAAT